CGTCACAGAACGAGTCGGGTTACATAAAAATTCATTCATACATTTATTGGACTTTATTCTTTTTACACGGCGCGTAAAAGTGGTAGTAAAAATGTTAGAGCGATATTCTGTATGGCATATGGAGGTACATATGTAGAGTACATATGTAAATGCTATGTTGTTTATATAAAACAAATATAATGTATACATGTAAAATAAGTATTGCAAATACTCAACACAATCACACATTTGCACACACACATACACGGGAAAACTGCAAACATCGTTAAGTGGTGTAAGGACGAGAATAGTAAGGATGTGAAACACAAAACTAACTGCAAACATACACATACACAACCTATTCATATAAATGTATATGTATGTGTGTGTTTTTGTTTAAAAAGCGTCTGCATATTGCTGGAAACCATCATCTTGACGAGAAAAGCAATTCTGACTAAACTTAACTTCATGTCCGTAATTGTATGGCGTGTGCAGAGAGGACAAACAAGGACATATAAGGATATAATGCTGTGCATTTTCCCCTTACCGAAAAACACACACACACCCAAAGAGTTATTGTGAGTCATTCATGGCAATTGCCCCATAAAAATTTTTGTTACATTGCTCGAGGATATGATGAGAGTCCCGGAGTCCTGTAACTACACCAGGATAATGGGAACAACAACCTTTGTCATTGTTTAAATTGCTGTGCAGATGACTGCATTTGTGGATAAGAGATAACGGATGATGCCCGTCAATGGTTTGTGGAGGCATAATGAGGGCAGTGACTCACACTTAGGCGGCAAGGAAGGAAAGCTCTCACGAGAGAAAGGTGAGAGAGAGAGAGGGAAGAAAAGAGAATGGGTGTTTTTAGATAACAACTTCATTGAGATTATAAAGATAACGTTATCTAATGAGCATTGATTAGATAAATTATCCTCATGCTTCATATCGACTAGATAACATTAGATAAATGTTCCGCGTTATCTAAATTTAGTAGATAACATTAGAAAAATTATAAACGATATCAAAATTAAATAGATAATATTAGATAAGTTAAGATAACGCTGGAGAAATTAACAATAAAAGCGAATATAAGATTAGATAAATTATCCGTGTTATCTAAACAGCATATTTAACCTAAGATAAATTATCCAGGTTATCTAAACAGGAAAAAAAATAGTTATCCACTTTTTTAAGCAAATAAATTATCTAAATCCGAAAGAAATTTATATAAAAATTATACAAGTTATTTAATAGTTGTTGAACGTCATAGATAAATTATCTGCATTATCTAAGCAGGATAAAAAGTCATGGATGAATTATGCACGTCATTTAAGCAGGTTGAAAAGACATAGATAATTTATCCTCATTATCTAAGTAAAATATAATAGCATAGATGAACTATCTACATTATCTAGCTATTGCAGAACTTCATAGATAAATTATCAAGGTTATCTAAATTGGAAGGAAGTTACAAAAAAGAAAATTACTCTAAACTCAAGTTAACATCGAAGATAACTTATCCACGTTATCCAAATAAGTAGATAATATTATAGATAATATTATAGATAATTTATCCACTTTATCCGAATAATGTAAATTCTTTATCCACTTTATCCAAATGTTGCAGATAAATAATCTAGATAGCGTATCCGCGTTATCCAAATAGTGTAGATAACTTATCCCATTGATGTAGATAACTTATCCACGTTATCCAAAAAATGTAGATAACTTATCCAATTGATGTAGATAACTTATCCACGTTATCCAAAAAATGTAGATAACTTATCTAAGTTATCCAAGTTATCCAAATAGTGTAGATAACTTATCCAATTGATGTAGATAATTCATCCACGTTAGCCAAATAGTGTGGATAACTTATCCACGTTATCCAAATAATGTAGATGACTAATCCACGTTATCCAAATAGTGTAGATAACTTATCCAAGTTATCCAAATAGTGTAGATAACTTATCCAATTGATGTGTAGATAAATTATCCACGTTATCTAAAGAGTGTAGATAACTTATCCAAGTTATCCAAATAGTGTAGATAACTTATCGAATTAATGTAGATAACTTATCCACGTTATCTAAAGAGTGTAGATAACTTATCCAAGTTATCCAAATAGTGTAGATAACTTATCCATGTTATCCAAATAATGTATATAACTTATCCACGTTATCCAAATAATTTAGATAATTTACCCATGTTTTCCAAATACTGTAGATAAGTTATCCACGTTATCCAAATAGTGTAGATAGCTTATCTACGTTATCCAAATAGTGTGGACAACTTGTACACGTTATCCAAAAAGTTTAGATAACTTATCCAATTGATGTAGATAACTTATCCACGATATCCAAATAGTGCAGATAACTTATCTAGGTTATCCAAATTTGTAGATAACTTATCTAATTGATATAGATAACTTATCTAAGTTATCCAAATAGTGTAGATAACTTATCCAATTGATGTAGATAACTTATCCACGTTATACAAATAATGTAGATAACTTATCCTCGTTATCCAAATAGAGTAGATAATTTATCCACTTTATCCAAATAGTGTAGATAACTTATCCAATTGATATAGATAACTTATCTAAGTTATCCAAATAGTGTAGATAACTTATCCAATTGATGTGGATAACTCATCCACGTTATCCAAAAAATGTAGATAACTTATCTACGTTATCCAAGTAGTGTAGATAACTTATCCAATTGATGTAGATAACTTATCCTCGTTATCCAAATAGAGTAGATAATTTATCCACCTTATCCAAATAGTGTAGATAACTTATCCAACTGATGTAGATAATTTATCCACGTTATCCAAATAGTGTATATAACTTATCCAATTGATGTAGATAACTTATCCACGTTATCCAAAAAATGTAGATAACTTATCCACGTTATCCAAATAGTGTAGATAACTTATCGGCATTATCCAAATAATGTAGATAACTTATTCACGTTGTCCGAATAGTGTAGATAACGTATCTGCGTTATCCGAATAGTGTAGATAACGTATCTGCGTTATCCGAATAGTGTAGATAATTTATCCACGTTACCCAAATAACGTAGATAACTTATCCAATTGATGTAGATAACATATCCACGTTATCCAAATAATGTAGATAATTTATCCACGTTATCCAAATAATGTAAATAAATTATCCACTTTATCCAAATTGTGTAGATAACTTATCTGCATTATCCAAATAATGTAGATAACCTATCCAATTGATGTAGATAACTTATCCACGTTATCCAAATTGTGTAGATAACTTATCCACGTTATCCAAAAAATGTAGATAACTTATCCACGTTATCCAAATAGTGTAGATAACTTATCGGCATTATCCAAATAATGTAGATAACTTATTCACGTTGTCCGAATAGTGTAGATAACGTATCTGCGTTATCCGAATAGTGTAGATAACGTATCTGCGTTATCCGAATAGTGTAGATAATTTATCCACGTTACCCAAATAACGTAGATAACTTATCCAAATAATGTAGATAATTTATCCACGTTATCCAAATAATGTAAATAAATTATCCACTTTATCCAAATTGTGTAGATAACTTATCTGCATTATCCAAATAATGTAGATAACCTATCCAATTGATGTAGATAACTTATCCACGTTATCCAAATAATGTAGATAAATTATCCACGTTATCCAAATTGTGTAGATAACTTATCCGATTGATGTAGATAACTTATCCACATTATCCAAATAGTGTAGATAACTTATCCAATTGATGTAGATAACTTATCCACGTTATCCAAATAGTGAAGATAACTTATCTACGTTATCCAAATAGTGAAGATAACTTATCTACGTTATCCAAATAGTGTAGATAACTTATCCAATTGATGTAGATAACTTATCCACGTTCTGCAAATAATGTAGATAATTTATCTAGGTTATCCAAATGTTGTAGATAACTTATCCACGCTATCCAAATGTTGTAGATAATTTATCCACCTTATCCAAAACCTGCAGATAACTTATCCGATTTATATAAACTATGTAGATAACTTATCCATGTCCTCCTAATAATATAGAAAGCTTATCTATGTCATTTTTATATCGCAGATAACTTATCTATATTATCCGAATTCAGCGGATAACTTATCTTAATAGTGTTAAATGGCTGGGAGGGACTTAACTGCATTATCCAAATACTGCGGATAACTTATCTAAATCATCCTAAATGGTTGAATTTTTTTTCGTCATCAAAATATTGCGGATAAATTATATATTTTATCCTAGGCTCTATAATCCGCAAAATTATTTTTTTAATTTTTTTTTATTATATATATATATTTTTTTTTTTAGAAAAAATCCCTGAATTTGCGTTTGAATGTGTTTAAAGCGAGTATAGAAGAATCGTTACAAAAGCAGTTTTGTACATGTAAAGCGTTACGAATATGAGCGTTATGTAAACTTTGTTTGGTTGGTTGGTTGAGGCAAAAAACTATTTGTATCGGAAAAAAATGAGAAATATTTTAAAATGAATAATGAAACCAAAAATAAGAAATAAAAGAAAAAAATAAGAATGTAAAGAGAAAAAGTGTAAAAATTAGTATTGAGTTGTAGAAGTAGAAGAGTAAAAGTTGGGGAGGAGGAGGCGTAACAAAAAAACTTAGACGTAAAACTGAAGTGGAACGCATGGGCGTTAATTGGTGACGGCGGCTGTTGCAGCTGCGTAGGCGGCGGCGATTTGGTTAAAGGCTTTAAGGCAGTAGAAGACGAAGAAGTGGAAGAAATATTTGTTTTGTTGTTGTAATAGAACGTATAAGGCTTAAAGACAACACAAAAGGTATTTCGGCACAAAGGACAAACGAATTATAATTTTTTTTTTGCTTTTTTGGTGGGGGGGACAACTCAAACAAGAATTTTTTGGAAAATCAAAATCCGTTTTTTTTTTTTTGGAAAATCAAAAATAATACAGAAACGAACGAACGAACAGATTTAAAGATAGCTGCAAAAGATAACTTCTTACTTCTTTTTGCTTTTTCTTGCGACCATATTGCGGCTGAAAGAAGATTTATCAATTTTGAGTTCAAATGATTTTGGGGGGTGGGGCAGGGTAGGATGTAATGAAAATGGTGGTTGGGCGGGTGTTTCGTTGTTGTTCACATGTTAGCCAAGTTGTGGCGTAACAAAAACAAGCAACAACAACAACAGCAATAAATTGTGATGACGCATAAATGACGTTGAAGGAGAGTTTTTTTTTTTTTTTTTTTTGGTTTTTGGTCGACGTCAATGCATGAATGGTTAGAGGTTTTTGCAAAATGATTTCATCCATACAACGACAACAACAACAACAACAGCAAAAGGATACAAACATTTCCGAAATGCCAAGGAAGAAGTTATTGTGGTTTTATATTAATTTTTGTTGTTGTTGTGTTTTTTTTTTCAATGGAGGAGAGCATGGGTTTTGTGTTTTTTATTTGGTTTTCAAGTGGCGCCCAAGTAAATCAAATAGTTTTTTTCGTGGCGTTGTCATTGATTTCGTTTTAGTTGTTGCAATTTTTGTGTTATTATTCGCAGGGCAAAAGGTTACAAGTTCAAAATGAGAGAGAGAGAAGGAAAAAAACAAGTAGAGAGAAAGAGAAAAAAAGAAACAAAAATACATGAACAAGAAGAAAGAACAAATATTGTTGTTGTTTTTTTTTTAAGAGTATATTATTTCATTATTGAAAAAAAATCTGAAACTGCTGGAATTTGTCTTTGTTTTGTCTAGATTGCAGACCGAACGGCAATAATTTTCTTGCTTTCGTCGACTCTTAAAGGATATTTACGAATCTGGTTGGCAATGACATGGATGATGGTCGTGTTTTTGAGGGGGGAGGCGAAAACGAAAACTGAGCGAGCGAGACAACAAAGGCGCGTAAAGATGATTCATACGATTCTATTTTCGAAATTTTTCTTATTGATCTAATGAGGGGTTAAATAAACTGAGAGTTGGGTACATGGGTACTCTTCCAATCCCCAATTTGATGAGATAAGAAATGTTGTGATTTCATTTTGAATGTCGTCGCCTCATTGCCCAGATGAATGCTATAAAAAAAAAACTAAGTGGCTTATTTACACAAGGTTATGGAATAGAGAGAGAGAGAGAGAGTGAGAGGGGTGAAGCTAATTTATTTCGTTCCATGAACATGAGAAATGTACTAAACGAATTCTAAGAGAATTTTTTCAAAAATTAGAAGATAGATGAAAGATAAAGGAAAAAATTGAAATTATAAAAAATTGAATAAGTCAAAAAAAAATTAAAATAAAATTAAAAATTTTCATATAATTTTAATTAAAAAACTAGTTTTTTCTTAACAAAAAAGAAAATATAAGAATATTAAATACGCAATATAAACCCTTACTATATAATTACATTTTATTCTAATTTTTTTTTTTTTGTAAATTTAAAGTTAATAAAAAAATTATAAAAAATTGAAAATTAACACAATAATTTATATTTATATAGACTTTAAAAAATTAATTAAACATTACGCCTAATAATATCATAGTAATAATTCCGAAAAAATATTTGTAAAAACTAGTTCGTTCTTCAAGATAAATTTTCGAAATGGGAGCTTGTACGTGGCCAAAAAGAAAATTGAAAATCATTTGTTAAAAATACTAAATTTTAGTTCAACCTCTAAGAAAATTTTTTTAAAATCAAGGATAATAAATATAAATTTTATAAATATATATATATAAAAAAAATTATTTAAAAAAAAGTTCTGAAAAGTTGCTTGACCATCAAAATGTTAATCTAAGAATTAATGGAAAATAGCTCATCTTTTAAATGAAATACAGGCTCATAGAAAAATATTTTTTTAAATACTGCATAGGGACTGAACACCACTGTATGGTGGAGGGTATAAATAGATATTATTTTTTGATAATGGATAGCAGGTATCCCTTTAGAAACTATATATTTTTTTTTTTTGTACAAAAAATAATTTGAACTTTTCAGAATATATTTTTTTATTAAAGTTTGTAAAACAGACATTCCTTTTAAATCCTAAATAGTAGGTATCACTTTAGAAACTATTTGTTTTTTTTTTTCTTCTTTTAATCCAAAACAATAAGAGGACATTTCAGAAACTATTTTTAAAAGTCTGACATATTAGCTGGTATTTTAGCTAGAATTTTAGTTTAATTTTTTAAATCCAGAAACATAGCGAAATTTTTAAAAGATTTGGATTTAAAATTATGTCCTGGTTAGAATATAAAAAATTAAGGATTTTTTTATTCTCTAGTCCTGTTTGTTCTTAAAAATATTTTAAACATTCACAAGTGTGCTCTATTTTCTTTTTTTTAATTTTTATATTTTAAATCCAGGATAGCAGCCAGCCCTAAAAAATTAAGGGATGGCTATAATTTTTGTATTTTTTTTTTTATTTCAGAATATTTCGTTGTCTTTGGAATTAAAATTAAGCCTTAGTAAAAATATGTTTTATAGACAAAAAAAAATAAAAATCCAGATTTTTTTATTCACGTAAAATATTTACGAAAACCACAAGTACTGTTAATTCTTTAAAAATATTTTTCCTTTAAAAAACTGTGTTTTTTTTTTTGAAAATTTATGAGTCCTGTTTGTGCTCTATAACTCTTTAAAATATATAGCAAATAATCAAGCCTTGATTACCATAAAAAATCACAAGCTCAAATTATCCTCTTGAAAAAAAAATTTGTAAAAAATTATTTCAAGATATTAACAAATTATACCAAAATTCCTTTTTTCCTTTTCTAAAAAATTACGAGCACATCATTAAAAAAATTTCTATTTGAAAAAGCTCCTTCACGAGTCTTGTATAATATTATCTTTAAATATTGAATACAAAATAGCAAACCCAGCTTATTCTTAACAACAATTTTGAAAATTTAAGAGCCATATTTTCCTTTGACAAAAAATATTTAAAAAATCTATTCTAGTAATATATTGGTAAAAATCAACGAATGATCTTAAAATATTTTAAAATAGTCTTATTTATCTCATATTAGAACAACTTTTAAATCCACTAGTCCTGTTTGTCCTTTAAAAAATATTTCAATAAATTTTATATATTCTGCCCATCTTTTACAAATATTTGTGAGTCCCTTAAACATATTTACAAAAATAGAAGTCTCATTTACCCTTAAAAACATATAAAAAAGGATCCTGTTTATATTTTGAATTTTTTTTTTTTTTTAAATCCACAAGCCTTTAAAAAACATTTAAAATAAATTAAAAAATTCTACTTATACCTGAAAAATATTCTTAAAATATAATAAAAAATCAAAAGTCTGGTTTACCATTTAAGCATATTCAAAACCCCGTTTACCCTTAAAAACATATTAAAAAACGAGTACTGTTTACCCTTTGAAAATATTCCACAAAGAAGCCTTCCAATGTTATTTTTTTTTTGTGAAATCTTCTTAATATCTTAGAATCTTAGATTTTCTAAATTTCTTGAAACAAAAATTTAAATAGAAATATTAATAATAATATAATAATAAAAGTAAAATTAAAAAAAATCTACATAGTCTTGAAACAATAAATAAAAAAATCTATACCATTATTGAAAATAATTTTTTGCCCATTTTAGATAAATATTATTTTGTTATTCATTTTTACGTCCATTAATTTTGTACAAATTTGTTACAGTTTTGTTATATGTACATTGACAACTAATGAAGCCAATATCAATTTTATTCAATCCATTTACCATTTATAGAATAATAAAGAAAAAATACATTTAATATTTATTTTATAAATAAAAATTAAAAAATAAAAACAAAAATACATATTATAGCAAATAATTTAAAATTTTTTAAATAAAATCTACTGCCCTAGAGTGTTGGGTCCAAACGTGGGGGATTAAATTAAGGATTCGGTTATGTGTTAAAAATTATAATTTAAATGATGATAGATTATATTATTATTATTATATATTATTATTATTATTATTATTATTAGTATTATATTATTATTATTATATATATATTATTATTATTATATTATTATTATTATTATTATTATTATATTATTATTATTTATTATTATATTATTATTAAGTTTATTATTATTATTATTATTATTATTATTATTATTATTGTTATTATTATTATATTATATATTATTATTATTATTATTATTATTTTATTATTATATATTACATAATATTATTATTATTATTATTATATTATTATTATTATTAGTGTATTATATTATTATTATTTTTATTATAATGATTATTACTATTATTATTATTATTATTATAATATATTATTATTATTATTATTATTATTTATTATTATTATTATTATTATTAGTATTATTATTATTAGTTATTATTATTATTATTATTTATTATTATTATTATATTATTATTATTATTAGTTAGTATTATTAGTATTATTATATATTATTATATTATTATTATTATTAGTATTATATTATATTATTGTATTAGTATTTATTAGTATTATTTTTATTATATTATTATATTTATTATTATTATTATTATTTTTATTATATTATTATATGATTATTATATTATTATTATTATTATTATTATTATTATTATATTATTATTATATTATTATATTATTATATTATTATATTATATATTATTATTTTAGTATTATTAGTATTAGTATTATTAGTATTAGTTTATTATTATTATTATTATTATTATTATATTATTATTATTATTATTATTTGATTTTATTATTATTATATTAGTATTATATATTATATTATTATTATTATTATTATTATTATTATTATTATTATTATATTATTATTATATATTTTTATTAGTATTATTATTATTATTATTATTATTATTTATTATTATTATTATTATTATTATTATTATTATTATTATTATTATTATTATTATATTATTATTAGTATTATATTATAGATTATTATTTGATTATTATATTATTATTATAGATATTATATTATTATATATTATTAGTATTATTATTATTATATTATTATTATTATATTATTATTATATATTATTAATTTATTATGGTATTACTAGTATTATTATTATTATAATTATATATTATTATTATTATTATTATATTATATTATTAATTATTATTATTTATTATATTATTATTATTATTATTATTATTATTATTATTATTACTATTATATTATTATTATTATTATTATTATCAATTATATTATTATTGTTTATATTATATTATTATTATTTATTATTATTATTATTATTATTATTATTATTATTATTATTTTTTATTATATTATTATTATTATTATTATTATTATTATTATTATTATTATTATTATTATTATTATATATTATTATTATTATTATTATATTATTATTATTATTATTATATATTATTAATTTCATACTAGTATTATTGTTGTAATTCAGTTTAATTATTATTATTTTAATTATATTTAATTATTTTGGCTATAATTATTCATTTTGCTATTAATTTAATATTAATTAATTTTAATTTAATTTTTCTAGATGCATAAAATTAAAAAATATATATTTTTTTTCAATTTATGCATCTATTATTTATAAATGCACTCTTATTATTAGTATAATTACTAAACTTTTTTATATATTTATTTTTTATATAATTATTTTTTGTTTCTTATATTTACTTATTTTTTATAATGTAGAAAAAACGTTCTCTAAAATATTTTTTATGAGTTTTCAAAATATTTCCAAATTTCAACCGAATCCCTCTCCCAACATAAACTGTCAAATTTACTACGGATTTTATTTTTATCTCTATTTTACTAAAATTAAATGAATTAAATTTGGATCGGGTTTGGTGTATTCATTAGGTTTAGTTCAAGATACAACATTGAAGACAACATCTAAGAGAGAATTACATTAAGAGAAAAAATTCGGATTCAAAGATTAGGGAACACATTTTCTAAGTACTTGAAATTAGTTACAGGTCATTTGCTGGATTACATAGAGAGTTGAGGGAAGATTAAAAAAAGTTCAAACTAGCGGGGCGGGTTAGTAATCAAACTACACCAATATACTAAGATGAAGGTACGGCTGTACTTCCAAAGATTATTCGGATTTTTTCAAATTGAAATGTGAAGAGAGGAAATGGATTTTATTATTTTTTTTTTTATTTATTTCAAATTTTCGTATAAAAATAGATTTTTTTTAATTATTAGGTTTAAAAACGGAGTTTATTAATTTTACAACATTGAAAGCAAGAAAGAGTTGATTCAGCTTTCATTTCAAATATATGGAGGAAAGAGCGCCATCTATACTTGAAATATGTATACTCGCAACAGACGCTCTGCTGCGTAACATTCAAATGTCACAATATAAAATGGTTTAGTATAAGTTTTGCCTCTTATAGTCTCAGAGAGCGCCATCTACATTTGAATACCTCACACGAAAAACTTTCATCTTTGGAAGTACATATTTGGTAATAAAAGTTGGAATTTAAATATTAGAAAGCCAAAATTATTTACGAAGAAAAATAAATTTAAACAATTAATTAAAATATTTAAAATATTAAAAAAAAAATAGAGAATGCCAATATTACGTCTATATAAAAAAAGTAAAATATATATAAAATGTACGACGAAAAATGAAACATTTATTATCATACAGTTAGTACAAAATGTAGTAAAGAGAAATAAAGTTAAGAGAGGAATTATGACTGCTAAGGGTACACAGAGAAAGAGAGAATCGGGGAAAAGGGGGCAATTGGGAGCTTTACTGTTTGAAAACTTCTAATACGAGGAGTAGTTTTTACAGGGGTTTCTAGAAACTACTAAAATCCTACATTGAAGACTTCTAGGAATATTTTTTATTGACGAGCTACAGAAGGTCTTAATTTTATACAGAAGCTCTAGAAGTCCTTCGATTCATAAAAAAGCTCTGGAAGGACTTCGTTTAATTAAAAAGCTATCCAAGACTTATCCTTTGCCAGATTTTCGATTTCAAATGATGTGTTATTGATCGTCTATTAATAAAAAGCTTAAAAAGCTTTTTGCAAGGTTAAATAGCTTCCATATTGAGAAGACTTTGCTTGGTAGAAAAGCTCTGGAGGATCTTTGTCTTTTTAAGAAATATCTGGAAGGTCTTTCCTTAGGAGATTTTCAATTTTAATTTAAATTTTGTAGATCTTCTATTAAAAATGCTAAAAAAGCTTTTCGAAGGGTAGAATAGCTTTTCTATTTTTATATACTTTAAATTGACTCATATTTTTCTGGAAGGCATGGATGGTATTGTAAACATATTCCATAGCTCTTTTGAAACTATTATTTAAAGGGCTTCTGGGACTTTTTTAAAATAAAATATTCCATAAATAAAAGAACTTCTGAAGCTCTTTTCGAAAAAAGCTCTTCTAAATATATGTAGCCATTGGAGCTTTTATGTAATTTATTTACATTTTAAAGGAAACAATACCTTACAAAGCTCTTTTAAATGTCCTTCCGGGGCTTTTTGGCTTTTAATGGATTTACATCTTTCTTTAGAATAACTTCTGAAGAATTTCTGAAGCTCTTTTCCCCATGTAAAAACCACCTAAAGCTCTTCTAAATGTAAGTAGCTATTGGAGCTTTTATAAAATAGAACACGTTTTAAATAAAAAACATTACAAAGCCCTTTTAAAAGTAGTCAGAAAGCTTTTCGAAGCCCTCCACAATTTTTCTATGGATAGCTCTTCTAAAAATATTATTGAAAGACCTTCGAGGTCTTTTTTTATTAATAAGAGGCCTTGAAAAGCTTTTTGGACAATAAAAAGCTTTGAAGAATTTTTCGTATAAAAACTGCTGCAGATTTTCTAAATAAAACTAGCAATTAAAGCTTTTATATGAACAGGCCTTGAAAAGCCTTTCTAAAGACAGAAAGCCTACATAGCAATTTCTCCATCGATCGGACACTTTTCGAAGTTATTTAGAAAAAGAAATGTTTATACGAAAAACAAACTTTCGAGCTTTTTTAAAGAAGAAGACACTTAAAACTCGTCCATAAATTTAACACCTTTTAAAGCTCTTCTATAATAGGTAGGTAAAAAAGGCCGTTCCACAAGTAGAACACCTTTTAAAGCTCCTCTCTCAAGAGAAGACCTTCTCATATATTTTCATCAATAGAATCTTTTCTGAAGGCTTTCTATGGAAATAACATCTTCAAAAGCTCTGTCTTAGATAAAAAAAAAAAATCTCCAAAGCTTCTCTTTAGATAAAGGTTCGCATACAGCTCTTCTATCAATAGAAGACTTTCTGAAGCTTTTCTATAGAAAAAAAAAAAACTAAATGACTTCTCATTTCGTGATTTACAGGGATATCAAGATTCTCAGATTCATGCTATCGAAATTGAATGAAATTTTTCAATGAATAAGAAGGGAATTTAAGATAACTATATGAAATCTTAAAAATTAAGGTTCTAAAGGCTCTACAGGATTCTAGAAACGAAAATTGTTCCGATAAATGGTATAAAAGATACTTTTTCTAAACTACTGAAAATTCTCTAAGTGAATGAGAATTATTTCCTCATAGCATGGAGTGTGACTACATTGAACCAAAAACAGAAAATGGATATGGGATTGAAAATGGGGGCCTAATTAATGCATGAAAAAAATGTAATGGAATTAATGGAAATGCTTTTAGTTTTTAATGAAAAGGGGGGTGGGGGGTTAATTTCGTTTTGTTATAGAAAAAGCTTTGCCTTCGGGCTTTTCTTGTTCCGTTACCAAGAGAACAAAAAAAGGTCATTTACATTCCACATTTAGGATTAGTAATTATTTTTTTGGTTTGGTTTAGTAGAAAAGAAATAATATTAGAATTATAATATTTAATAAATATTTATATATGTATAGAGTTACAACATATCACACACACACGCACAATGAAATTGTTCTTATACTGAGGCGGCTCGTAGGGATTTTTTTAGGTAATTATTTCAAGTTACAAAAAAACCAAGTGGCGAAAAGTAGACAGGGGTAGAGAGAGGGGTGTAGGGGGTGAGACACAAAACAAAAATTGGCCAGCTTAATATTTACCTGCTCTCCTTCGGCGGCTCTCTTTCTTTCCAGCTCCTTTTGTTTTTCATGTTCAGCGATACGTTGTTCGATTTGTAACAATGATTCGCGGGTGAAGGGACGGAACAAACTGCGTTCTTCCTCAGATATCGAGTCGGAATCTTCTGTCATTGTCTATGCGGCCAACGATGAGAGCCTCAGATTTCCAAGGCCTGTTTGAATATTTTATTCAAAAAAATTATTTTAAAAAATTTTAAAAAATTGAAATTAAAAAATGTATGTTATTCACTCATTTTGGGCAAACAAAGTAACTACGTCAGTGGTAGTAATAAATTTTATAGAAAAACCATTTGAAAACAAAAAAATAACACACACACACACACACTTACATGAGGCACATGTATGTCGCCTGCTACGTCAAAGTTACAACTATATCCGAGGCGCCATTTTCAAACAAGCGCCCACCACAGACACGTATTCTGGAAAGAAACAGACAAGAAAGGAGGTGAAAAAAAAATACATTTTTGTAGTGAAAATGAAAAGGAAACGGAAACAAACAAACAACACCATTAGTTTTATTTTCTGCTCGCAGAGGAACCATAGATAGTTGTTGTGGGAGAGAAAAAGAGAGGGGGTGATGTAAGGTACTTGGTAGGGTATACATTTTGATGTGAGTGTATGGCAAGGATTATATGGCAACAAACTAAATGAATAAAATACGAGCTTCTTTTAATTATGGAACTATTTACAAAAAAAAAAAAAACCCACAACAACAAGAACAGAATTTATATCGCTATGACGCTGGAAATGTAAATAATGATGATGATGATGGAGACGATGACGATGGAAACGGTGACATACAGACAATAAACCCAACCCTAAATAAGTGTATATGTAAGAGCTAGCACTTAGCTTGCAGGGAGTATATGGTATAAGTAGAACTGCCTTTACCAAATATTTTTTTGAAAAAAAAATCCACGCCTATTGTTGGTGCTTTAAAAATATTTTTAAAAAAATCCACGCCTATAGTAGGTGGTTTAAAAAATATTTTTTAAAAAATCCACGCCTATAGTAGGTGGTTTAAAAAATATTTTTTAAAAAATCCACGCCTATAGTAGGTGGTTTAAAAAATATTTTTTAAAAATCCACGCCTATAGTAGGTGGTTTAAAAAATATTTTTTAAAAAATCCACGCCTATAGTAGGTGGTTTAAAAAATATTTTTTAAAAAATCCACGCCTATAGTAGGTGGTTTAAAAAATATTTTTTAAAAAATCCACGCCTATAGTAGGTGGTTTAAAAAATATTTTTTAAAAAATCCACGCCTATAGTAGGTGGTTTAAAAAATATTTCTTAAAAAATCCACGCCTATTGCTTATGCTTTAAAAAAACTTTTTCAATAATACACGCCCATTGCTTATGCTTTAAAAAATATTTGTAAAAAATCCACGCCTATTGCTTATGCTTTAAAAAATATTTGTAAAAAATCCACGCCTATTGTTGGTGCTTTAAAAAAATATTTTGAAAAGCTCTACGCCTATTGTAGATGCTTTAAAAAATATTTTAAAAAATTCGCGCCTATTGCATATGCTTTAAAAAATATTTTTAAAAATTCGCGCCTATTGCATATGCTTTAAAAAATATTTTTAAAAATTCGCGCCTATTGCATATGCTTTAAAAATATTTTAAAACATTCGCGCCTATTGCATATGCTTTAAAAAATATTTTTAAAAAATTCATGCCCTTTTGCATATGCTTTAACATTTTTTTTTAAAAATCCACGCCTTTTGTTGGTGTGTTAAAAAATATTTTTAAAAATCCACGCCTTTTGTTGGTGTGTTATAAAATATTTTTAAAAAACCCACGCCTATTGTTGGTGCTTTAAAAAATATTTTTAAAAAATCCACGCCTATTGTAGATACTTCAAAAAATATTTTTAAAAAATGTTTGACTGATGTAGATACTTCAAAATTTTTTTTTAAAAAATCCACGCCTATAGTAGGTGGTTTAAAAAATATTTTAAAAAATCCACGCCTATAGTAGGTGGTTTAAAAAATATTTTAAAAAATCCACGCCTATAGTAGGTGGTTTAAAAAATATTTTAAAAAATCCACGCCTATAGTAGGTGGTTTAAAAAATATTTTAAAAAATCCACGCCTATAGTAGGTGGTTTAAAAAATATTTTAAAAAATCCACGCCTATAGTAGGTGGTTTAAAAATATTTTAAAAAATCCACGCCTATAGTAGGTGGTTTAAAAATATTTAAAAATCCACGCCTATAGTAGGTGGTTTAAAAAATATTTTAAAAAATCCACGCCTATAGTAGGTGGTTTAAAAAATATTTTAAAAAATCCACGCCTATAGTAGGTGGTTTAAAAAATATTTTAAAAAATCCACGCCTATAGTAGGTGGTTTAAAAAATATTTTAAAAAATCCACGCCTATAGTAGGTGGTTTAAAAAATATTTTAAAAAATCCACGCCTATAGTAGGTGGTTTAAAAAATATTTTAAAAAAATCCACGCCTATAGTAGGTGGTTTAAAAAATATTTTAAAAAATCCACGCCTATAGTAGGTGGTTTAAAAAATATTTTAAAAAATCCACGCCTATAGTAGGTGGTTTAAAAAATATTTTAAAAAATCCACGCCTATAGTAGGTGGTTTAAAAAATATTTTAAAAAATCCACGCCTATTGTTGGTGCTTTAAAAAATATTTAAAAAAATCCACGCCTATTGTTGGTGCTTTAAAAAATATTTTAAAAAATCCACGCCTATTGTTGGTGCTTTAAAAAATATTTTAAAAAATCCACGCCTATTGTTGGTGCTTTAAAAATATTTTTTAAAAATCCACGCCTATTGTTGGTGCTTTAAAAAATATTTTTTAAAAATCCACGCCTATAGTAGGTGGTTTAAAAAATATTTAAAAAAAATCCACGCCTATAGTAGGTGGTTTAAAAAATATTTTAAAAAATCCACGCCTACAGTAGGTGGTTTAAAAAATATTTTAAAAAATCCACGCCTATTGTTGGTGCTTTAAAAATATTTAAAAAAAAATCCACGCCTATTGTTAGTGCTTTAAAAAATATTTTTAAAAAATCCACGCCTATTGTTGGTGCTTTAAAAAATATTTTGCATATTGCATATGCTTTAAAAAATATTGTTTTAAAAACCGACACCTATTTCATATGCTCTAAAAAATATTTTTTTAAAAACCGACACCTATTTCATATGCTCTAAAAAATATTTTTTAAAAATCCACGCCTATTGTAGATGCTTCAAAAAATATTTTTAAAAAATCCACGCCTATTGCATGTGCTTTAAAAATATTTTTTAATAATAATTTAATATTTTTAGAAAATTGCGAATGCATTAACATTTTTTTTTTAATTTTTTTTTTTAACAACAATAAAAGCTATATTTTGTCTTATCAATGAAAATTATTTATTTTCTACTTGAAGTCAAATCTAATTTGACTTGTGCCCTTATCACTGTTAAATCTTCTAGAACAGAAATAAAACATCTGCGTCTTAAAAAAATATATATTAGATTTTTTTCAATAATTAGTTCCTCTTATCAGTAGCTTATTTCCAATTGAGCTTTGGAGGGGAGCGAAGTTCAACGGCAAAATATTTGTTTGTTTTTTTTTCTAACAACAAAACTATCGAACGTAATTAGAGAATAAAGAAAGCATTCAATTCTGAAAGGTTATCTGTTTCTCGATGAATGCAGGCATTATTAGAAAATAAATCTAAATAATTTTTTTTTATATTTTTTTCTATTCAATACAGAATGAAAGAAAATTGCATCAGCTTTAAGGAAAAAAATTCTAAGAAATTCTTTGTCTGCCCAAAGAAGTTATCAACACGTGTTGCCAAGACCATTAATCCCCAATCGTTCTCTTTGGCCAATTATTATCACCCCACTGTGAGTGATTACAAATCAAATTTGACATTGATTTGATGAAAAAGAAGTCCTTAAATTAGTCATAAACTAGTTCCATCAAAATCCTTCATATCCACCACAGACAACTCAAACCTGGATTGTCCATACCAAACTCATAAATTTCAGGCGCCATATTTCCTCTACGTTCTTCATTTCTGCCATTAGTCCTCCAAAAGGAAAACATAAATAATTATAGTCCCTTTTTTCTCTCTCTCTCTCCTTTCACTTTCTTGTTTGCGGAGTAGTCATTAATTTATTATGATAGACGCTTTAATGATTACATACACCAACAAACAAATGAACACATACATATCTGTCTGATACATGTGTAGTTAGGTAGTATTTACCCAGGGTGAGATATTTATTACTGAAATTGTGGATATACTCAAATTGGGTTCATTTGACTCAATATCGTTCCATAGTAATTAATATTCATTAAATCCTCTGATATGCCATTCAAACTTGAAGTTAATTGTTTTATTTGTTAAATAAAATCCCAAAAGGAAGATATATTGAAAGTGAAAAGAAGAAGGACCAAAGTAAATTTACTATGGATTCTTAAAAAATATTTTTTTAAGTTTTAATCAACCAAAAAAATCAAGAAACCCATGAAAGTGGATTTTTGAGAGCACATAAGAATGTGGAACTCGAAACTAGTTCAATTGTTCTCAATTCAATGGCGCATTCACTTTTGGGACCCAAATAATTGAATGCGCAAAAACGACAATTTTATAGCAAAATTTTGGGGCTATAGGTAGTTCCAATTTTCTCCAGGCGTGTGGCTGAACCCATAAATTTCTTTAACTGGATTTTAAGCCCCCTGGAACCAAGGACCAAAACCGTCATGGGATGTTCCAAAACACAATGCAATCATAAAATACGCTCAAATACATAAATGTGTTCATGAGAAAATATTTCAACTATCGTTTGAGATTTCAATTCCCATTCGATCTTATATATGACCTCCCACCTTAACGTTATGTTTTTCACAGGAATCACGGAGGACCAGATAACTTAGAAATAGCTTAATTGTTTCCAGTCCAATTCACATTCACTTCTAGGAACCCGATAATTGCGTGCGTAAAAAGCTACACTCTTAGATTAACTTTTGGGTACTCTAGTATATTTCAATTTCCACCCCCAGTATGGCATAACTGATAAGGTTTTTCTTTTTGGTTTAGGCATTAGGGACCTATGAGTCCAGGACATATATTAATATTTTGTTATTTATTTGAAATAGTAAAAAATATTTGAAATATATAAGGGCTTTAAAGGGAAAATATTTAAATAAATGTTTGAGATTTAAATCTCCATTCAGCTTTATATATAGACACAAAACACGATTTTATGTGTCCCATTGGATTCATAGAGAGCCAGAATACTCGAATATAGTTCAATTACTTCAAGTTCATTTTACATTCACTTATGGGAACCATATGAATGTCTGCGCAAACAATGGCAAATTTAAATAAAATTTTAGCATGAAGTGATTCAGTTCTCTTTTCACTCCCGTTTGGCTTCACAAATGAACATTTTCCACT